TCACCTGGGGTGACTGCACCTGGGCGCACCGTCCACACAGGAGCTCGGTGAGGTGGACCCGCCCGCAGGATGCCTGAAAGCACAGACCCCGGCGCGGAGCAGAGCTTGCTAGGCTGCCTGGCCAGGATGGGTTTGTGGGATGGGGCTGCTGGCTGAGGCTGGGAGCCCCCCAGGCCTCAGCACCCCAACACACACAGCCAGGGGCTTGGCCGCTGCTCCACGCAGGCTCTGAGCAACCCCACAGTCCTGGGGCCTCACCTCGCTGGCCACAGCTAGAACGGCCTCCCCTCGCTTGGGGCTGAGCCACAGCCCATCTGAGAGATAGTGACACCCCGAAGGCACACAGCCCCTGGGGGCCAGCACAGAAGGCTCTGCATCCCCAGGACTCTGAAGCCAGGGGAGAGGGGCAGGGTTGCGGGTGTCTGCGGCTGCCTTGTTGAGTTGGTCAGTCTCCAGCTGGAAGTCTGGAAACGTGTTCAGGCCATTGTGGCGGAGTGCCCCAGCCACACGCTTTGGAATCTGGGGGTGAGGTGGGCTTTCCCGAACAGGGGGGGTGCTTCTCATGAACGACGGGGCTGAGCCCACCACTCTAAACCAGCGCCTGAGCCCTGTCGGGTCACATCTGCTACGGAAGGATAAACTGAGGTCCAGAAATTCGGGGACTTAAGGAAGGTTGGCTTATTGTATTTCCATCAACTTGGAGGCTTAAAGCGCTAGAAACTTGTTCTCTCCCAGGTCTGGAGGCCAACAGTCTGAGACTGAAGTGTTGGCAAAGCAGCAGGGCCGTGCTCACTCAGAGACCAGAGAGAACCATTTGTGGTCCCTTCCAGCTTCTGCTGTCTCCGGGCATCCTTGGCTAGTGGCCTCATCACTCCAGTCTTTGGCCCGTCCTCACATGACCTCGCCCCTTCTGTCTCTTACTGCAAAATGCATGGGTGGATTTAGGGCCCATCTCGGTAATCGGGATGGTCTTATCCCAAGACCGTTAAGTGATCACACCAGCAAAGGTCCTTTTCCTAAACTGGGGCCCATTCACAGTTCTGGGTGGCTGCATGTCTGGGGCCACCAATGAGCCCCTTGCAGCGGGCAGCAAGTTCAGCCTCTCCAGCAAAGGCTCCGACTTGGGGTGCCGGCAACACAATGTGCCCCAGGCATCCTGGGCTTGGAATGCCCCATTGCTCCAGCCCTACCCTCCGGCCTCCACGACCAGTAGACCTGTAACCCCCAGCCTCCTCCACAGGGCCTTGGGGGCTGAGCTCTACCAGGAGCTCAGTGTCAGAAGTGCTCTCTCACTTCGCGCCTCCCACACCCCACTTCCGGATCCCCGGGACCCTGGACCATCCTGCCCGCCCTCCACCAGTGACTGTGTTTGTGAGCTTGGGTGACACTCAGCACCTCTCAGACTGGCCCTGGATCCCTGAGTGTTGCCTCCTGTGGGCTCAGCCCAGGGGCTGGTGTCCAGTGGGGTGAAGGGTGTGAACCCCCAGGTGGCCACAGTTAGCGGGGTTCTGGCTGGTGTGTGGCATTGTTCCGGGCCCTGTTTTGGAGGCTCCTGGGTCAACCCTACCTCTAGGGGGATCAGGGGGAGGTGGAAACTGAGGGAGGAGCCCAGGGGAGAGTGAACCTGTCGGGGAGAGGGAAGCCAGGAAGGGCCCCAATCCAGCGGCCCTGATGTGGTCCCCAGCTTGGCGCCCCTTCTGATCCCTGCTCCCTCGCTGCTGCCTCCGCCTTGGGGCTCCTGTCCGCCTGCCTCTCCACACATTAATCTGCGCTGGCTCACTGCTGACCCAAGCGAAACGGAGTTTGCCTTTTCCCCTCTCGGCAGTTTTCTGTTGGCTAAGCAAAATGATCGCAGCGCACGCTCACCTCGACCTCCCTGCGCAGGGGAGGACCGCCCTGTAAAGTGAGACTTCCCTGTCAGGCCGGGCCGAGGAGGGGGCTTGGTCGTGGGCACAACACATTCTGGGGACATCTGTGTGCTCCTGCCCAGCCCCTCCTCCAGCCCCCGGCTCTCCATTTCCTCCGTGGGCCCTCTCTACGCTGGGCACGGGGACAGGGCAGTGTCCTGCTGCTGCTGGCACGGAGGAGCGGGCGTGGTGCCTGTTCATGGCCCACAGCCCATCTGGGGCACAGCGGCAACCGTGGTGTGGCTGGACCAGAGAGTGGGGGGCTAACTCCGGGCCCTGAGACATGGCCGTGTCTAAGGAAGGCTGAGTGCGTCCCAGCCCAGAATCGAGGAGGCAGAGAGCATAGGCTGAGCACAGAGTGAGGCTGGTGGCGGCAGGCGGATGGGAAGAGACAGCGCACCCAGATACAACAGAGCAGAGTGGACGGTCAGGCAGGCACACGCCTCCTCACATGCACACCCGCTCGTGTGTGGACCCCACGAGCCATCCCATCAGGGTATAGGACCTGGGGGCTCTCGGGGCAAACAGCCTGTCTCCCAGCTTGGACAACCCCCAGCACTCGGAGAAGCCCCTTGGCCACGGGCTTCTCTCCTGGGCCAGATCCGGTATTGACATGAGCTGGGGCTGCTGTCCGAGAGGTAGGCGCATGGCGATGCTCACCCCTGGGTGGCAGGCTGGCCTCTTGTCCTGAGTCCCGGCCCCCTGGGGGTGCAGTATTGCCCTCAGGGTGGGGGTCGGCCCACAGCTGACCATTGGGGGTTTTGCCAGGCCCAGAGTCGTGTCCATGACCTCATCCCAGAGGCCTCCTGGAGCCAGCCCAGGACTCCACCAGCTGCTGGTTCAGCCATCTGGGGACACTAGGGAGGTGCCAGGGAGACCAGGTGGGTAGGGCCACCCTGGGGTGCTGAGGCGAGGGTGGACACATGGAGCTGGAAGGGTGCAGGCGGAGCCCCCACCTTCCTTGGGGGCATCGTGTGGTTTGTGCCCCTCACTCAACGCCTACTTTCCATCTGGAAACAGACTTCCTTGCTTCCTGGAGAGCTCGACACCCAGCGACCCCTGACCCAGGGGAGCAAAGGCCCTGGCTTGCCCGAGGGCCCGGAGCCAGGCCGCCTGGGAAGGCTGGGAGGGTTTGGGCCTTGGGACAGGCCCTCCCCACCAGCCTGGGTGAGAAGCAGGTGGCTCCCTCCCGGCCCCAGCCCCTCCCGGGTCCAGGTCGGCTGCTGGAAGCGGGGATGCTGCTGAGTTCTGGACAGGACCTGCCAGTCCTGTCGTCCCTGATTAGCGTGTAATGGCTTCCTTGACGCATAGTTTTATTAATCAAATTAATATGAGCTGAGGTGACCTTGGCGGGTTCTGCTGAGAGGGGCATTCTCCCGGGAGGGGCAGGTGGTCGAGGAGGGATGCACCTGGATGTCCTGTCCCCTGGCTCGGGCAGATGGGGGGAGCCCTGCCCTCCCACTCCCAACACTGCGCACCCTCATCACACCCACTCACCCACCCTCACACACCCCTGCCAATGCCCCCCACTCACTCCCCAGTCCCAGGAATGGTGAAGAAGGTGGGAGAGAGCAGGGTCCAGGCCCCTAAGGGCTGCTCCTGCTTGGGGATCCCACGGAGGAGACAGGCCTGATGTGCCGAGAGGGGGCTAGACCTTGGTCTGCAGGGGGCCTTCCTTCTCTCCAGGGTCTGCTGCCCGCCCCTCTCTAACCCTGCACGGTCCAGAGACCCCGCCTCCTGCAGCCTCGTGAGCGGGCCGTGGCTGCCCCCTGGTGGCCATGGGACCCCCCCCAACCTAACCCGGCGAGAACTGCAGACAGCAGCCTCTCCCACCTCCCACCCCTTCATTTGGGGCCAGGCCCCTAGCCACACCACCGCGGGGCCTGGGGCAGAGTGGCCGCCCTGGTTTCTGGGGCTGTTCCCAGTATGCGTGGCTGGGGCGGCGTGGTCCCTGAAGGCTCACGGTCCGAGGAGCCCAGTTTGGTGCCGAAGGGGCTGGGGAGAAGTCCAAGGGAGCTAGGGTGGAAGGGTGGGCTGGGGGTACCCCTCTGTGCTGGGCCTGGGAGCAAGGAGGCTGAGACGGCCCCATAGATACCCCTTGAGCCGGAGCAGCGGCCTCACACGCCCTGGCTCGACGGCAGGGCGGGGGCAGAGGAAGCGGAGCCTGGAGGGATGGGGCGGGGCCAGACGGGGTGGGGGTGGAGACCAGGCAGGGCGGGGGCGGAGCTTGGCTGGAGGGGACGTGGGGGCCGGGCTCGGGTCAGAGGCCCACGAGGCACAAGGGGTCGGGAGAGGGGACAGGAGGTGCGGAAGCAGGGAGGGAGTCCCGCTCTCTGCGCCGAGGGACAGCAGAAGGCATGCAGTAGGTGGCCTCTGCTGGGACACCACTCAGATGGGAGGCTGTGCTGTGGAGGGAGGGGCAGGGCAGGAGAGGAGCTGGTCCTTCTCCAGCCTGTGGGGCGCCAGGTGGACCAGTTGGTGGGGGCGGTGCCTGGCAGGGGTCACTGCAGGCCAAAGAGAAGCTGGGCTTGGGGCTGCGGTCCTGAGGGAGGGTGTGGACAGGGGGTGGCATGCTGGGAGGAAGGGGACAGGAGAGCTCAGCCAGGGGCCTCAGGAGCCCAGCACAGGGGCAGCGGGCCTCTGAGCTGCAGGGGCCGCTGCCACAGATCCCCCTAGCCTGCCCCCTTCTCCTGTGACAGCTCCTTCCAGTCCGAGAGGAGTCCATGGACACCTCCACCCGGGAGCTGCCCTCAAGTGGACAGTCGGGGCAGAGGAGGACAGGGCAGCTCAGAGACAGGCTCCTGGCATGTGGGACTCAGTGCCCAAAGTGACTGTGGCACTCCTCCTGCGGGTGCTGCACCTCGCCCCTGGCACTGGGCTCAGACACATCTCATCAGACACTGTCTTTAATGGGCAGCTCCGGGCACTGGGTGGGGCAGCAGACTGGCTGAAGTTTCTGGGTCCTGGATGGGGAAGGCCTGCATGGGGTCCTTGCTCCCAGCCAGTTGGAGCCTGCGCTGGGGCCCATGTGTGGGGGGAGCCGGCCCCTCACCACCACCCTGGGCAACCTAGAGGGTAAGGGCGGCAAGCAGCTCAGGGCTGTGGGGCTGGGGACAGAGTCCTTCCAGTCTTGCCCCTGTTGGCCTTGTGGTTCCAGCCAAGGAGGGGCCTGGGCCTCGGCCTGGCTCGTGAGGGCACTGGTGTCTCCTGGCCACACTCCTTCTGGCTCCTCAGAAGCCCCCCAAGGGCTGGCCGGCGGTCCCCCTGTGTTCAGCATGGAAACAGATGTGGGTCAGCTCCCCTGGCCTGGCCTGCTTGTGGCCAGCTGGTGAATGCCAGGGGATGAAGTGGTGGAGACTCAGGGGGTGGGGGTCCATGTAAGGATGGTCATGGAGTGGGGCCCCCATAGGTTTGCCCTGCTCGGGGGGCAGCGCTCCAGAGGCGGCCTCTGCCCGGAGCAGCTGAGGGGCGGGCTGGGCCTCATGGAGTACTGTCCCGGCACCCTCGTAGCATCCGTGGGTATTTGGGGCCTGGCCAAAGGCCAGGGCCGGGGTGGGACAAGGAGTTAGGGACACCCTCCCAGGGCCCTGGGCTCACCGAGATGGGCAGCTTGGCGGCGGGCAACGGTGTGGCCACCTGCAGGCTCACGCCCCCATCGCCCACGCCCTGCAGCTGGGCCACCACCTCCGCGTGCTTCCACCACCTGCACGGCTGCCCGCTCACTGACACGATGTAGTCACCCTCCTTCAGGCCGGCCTCCTGCAGCAGACCGGGAGAGTCCCGCCGCACCCCTCCACTTCTGGGTGGTCCTACCTTCCCCACCCCCCGGTGAGGGGGTCTTACCGCAGCCCGGCCCCCCGGAACGACGGCAGCAATGAGAACCGGCGAGTCTCCCCGCAGCGTGAAGCCGAAGCCTCCCTCTCCTCGAGACAGGTGGACTGGCCCCACCAGTCGCCAGTGGTTCTTGGCTGAGAACACGGACAGGGGCCCCTGGGGGGGGTCAGAGGTCAGAGGCCGGGCTGGGTTGCTGCACTTGGAGGGGCCCCCCGGCCTGGAGCACCCTTGCTGCCATCTCTCTATTCAGTGACAGAGACGGGTGGGGTCTGCAGGGGGCCTGGGCGGGGGCGGAGGGGGACGGCCCTCGAGGACCTGACTGAGCACCAGGAGAAAGCTGAGGAGGGGGAGGCCTGGGAGGGTGCTCACCAGCCTGTGGAAGATATCAGCCACCTTCACCTGGGAGAAGCTGGGTGTCCTGCCTTCTGGCCTCTGCTGCGTCTTAGCTGAAAAGATGGTGAAGGGAGGTGGGGCTGAGTCCAAGGCTCAGGGTCCCAGGGTGATGGCCTGAGGTGCAGCCGTGCACTCCGGCCCCCCTGGGCACCACCAGCAGGAGGAGACTGGTGGTTCTGGTGTCTGACGTCCCTGGGGGGCGGGGCAGGAATGAGCAGCGGGGACCTGCCACCGCGGCCCGGCTCCTCCTCCGAGGGCCCTCCGTGTGGCACATGGAGCTTGATCGCAGGAGCCTCTGCCTGCCACCTGCCGCCCATGCCGGGGCAAAGACACACCCACCCCGGGGCCGCTGCTTACGCTGGACGTCAGGGGCCTCAGTGGCCTCGTGGAAGTCGTCCTCCAGGTCGAGCTCCGAGTACTTGGCCAGAGAGCGCCGCAGCGCCCGGGCCAGCACGGCCTGCAGCAGGTCCTCCCGGCGCAGGGCCCGGCACATGGCGTGCAGCTGCAGCGCCGCCTCCTGCCCCAGGAGGGCCCGCCTCAGGTGGGCCTTGCCTGCGGGGACCGAGCTGTCTCGCGCTGCTGGGCCCCTCCAGGCCCCCACCCCACAGGCAGCCCGAGGAGGACAGATCAGGGCTTCCGAGTTCATCCTGGGTTCGCCGGGAAAGAGCTGCCTCCCACGGGTGCCTGCCCTGCCCATGAGGCCGCCCGTGCTGCTGGTGCCCCACAGGGAGTGACGGCTGGAGGGGGGCGCTCATGCCGGCAGGGGCCCAGGGCCTCACCCAGTTTGCTGCGCTCCTCGCGCTCCTGGGGCAGCGCCGGGCTCTGGGCCTCAGCCGAGGCCAGGAACACCTGCTCGAGGACGGGGAGCTCCGACTCGGCCACCGCTGGAGGTCAGAGAGGGCGGTGAGCCGCCGCACGGGCCGCCGGCGGCACGGCACGCGGGCACGCGGGGCGGGGCACTCACGGGCGCCGTCACACAGGCCCAGGGCCGCGTGGTAGTGGGCCAGGGCACGGAAGTGCTCGGCCTTCACGTGCACCAGGGTGGTCCAGGGGAAGGGCACGTAGTCCTGGATGGGTGGCTGGGCCATGGTCCGATGCACCAGCCGGTACTCGGCCGCCACCTGCTGGCGCACAGTGGGACGGAGGGCGCTGCCGCGAGCCCAGCGGCCTGGGCCCAGGTCTCTGCCCACCCTGGGGCCCCGCCTCCACCAAACTCCCAGCGGCCCTGCCCTACGCCGAGCCGAGCTCAGGGCTTGGGGCCCCCAGTCCCTGCCCTGGTTGGCATTGCCCCAGACGTGGGGACTCAGGGCCCCGGGACCCTGAACAGCCCCCCCGAGCTCACGAGGACAGCTGGCAGCCGCCCCTCCCGGCCCCGGCCCTCAGCTCAGCGGCACGGCCCTCCCCCGGGACAGCCGCCCCCCGCCCCGCCCTCACCTGGGCCGCCTCCTGGGCCAGGCGCAGCTGGGCCAGGCGGCCGTGGGTGGCCCCGGGGGCCTGCAGCAGGAGGCCCTCGAAGACACACTCCTGGGCCTGGGCGCTCATGAGCTGCTCCAGCATGGACAGCGAGGCGGGGCTCATGTCCGGGCTGGGCGCCTGGGAGAAGTTCTCCCTCAGGAGGCTGAAGGCCCCTGAGGGGGAGGCGGGCTCAGAGGGGCTCAGCTGGGCTGCCCGGCCGAGCCCCGAGCCCCTGGGCCCCCCTCAGAGAGCCTGTGTGTGCTGAGCCCCTCAGGCTAGGGGGACATGCTTGTCCCCCGACCCCGATTCTGGCCCTCGAGCCTGGAAGTAAGGACTGCAGAGGCACAGCTGTGGCGCCAGGGTCTGGCGGCCTCACCAGCAGCCCTCTGAAAGGATTCCACGGCGCGGCTGATGCCCTCGGGGCAGGAGCGGTTCTGGCGAGCCCCGATCTGGGTGTGCAGGGCGCCGATGTTGAACAGCACGCTGCCCTTCTCGAAGGCCAGGGCCCGCTGCTGGGCTGGGAGCCCCGTCAGCGAGTCATACCTGCAGGGATGCATCAGGCTGGGAAGAGTTCCCTCAAGAAGCTGGGGGTCTCAGGAGCGGCCCCGGGGCTCCTGCCCACCCCAGCCCCTACCAGTGGAAGAGCAGCCCTAGGCTGCGGGCAGGGGTGACAAAGCGTGCCTCCAGGAAGCAGAGCTGGTTGTAGTAGGCCGTGAGCAGCTCCAGGCCGGCCTTGCTCCGGCTGGGGGTCCGCGTGGCCTGCCAGATGGAAGTCAGCTGGGTCCTACCGCCCCCGCCCACCCCAGGGCACACATGGCAGCCCAAGGGATGTTACAGCTCCAGGGGACGTCTCAGGGTCTAGGGGTGAACATGGTCACACCTGCCCTCCCTGGGGTTGCGGGGGACCACACATGCCACTCCAGGGGACTGCAGGCCGCTGGGGCGGGAGGCTGGGCAAGGTCCCTGGGGTGGGCACGGGCACAGAGCAGCCATTCCCAAAGGCCAGCAGTCTTCTCACCTGGGGGATAGGGGGGCCAAAACCCACCTGCCGCAGGTCCTCCAGCTCCCTGATCTCAGCCTCGTAGGAAGCGCCGTCTTCCCCAAAGTGCCTGCAGATCAGCTCCTGAGGCGGTGGGCGGGGGAGGGGGCGGGTGCAGGACTTCCCTGGAGCCTCCCAGCCCAACATGGCTGAAGCCCCATAGCGAGGGAACCCCCACCACAGATGTGGGGCCCAGGGACTCAGGGATATCTCTACTGGAACCCCTTACCCTTATTAACTCCCACGAGCCAAGTGCCACCTGCCAGCAGACACCCGAGGCTGAGGCTGAGGCACCTTCCCCCTGGCCTGGCTGCAGGGGCTTGGGAGTCCCCACAAGGCCCCCCGGAGCCTGAGGGTTTTCTCAGCACAGGCTCTGACTAGAGGGGGCAGCTCCCAGCCAGCGGAACCCTCAGAGCAGGAGTCGGGGACCCCGCAGCCATCCTGGGACCTCCAGTTTTGCCGACATCCATCCCAGGGTACGTTCTTCTGCAAAGCCCACCCAATCAAAATCCCTGGAGGCTAGGTGGCTCCAGGTCAGACCCTTCTTCCCTCTGAGTCCTCACCTCAGTGAGACTGCTGACCAGGAAGCCCCCGAGAGCTGAGCCCAGGCTGGCACTCACCTTCAGAGGTGGGGCCCAGTCCAGGGGCTTGGTCTCCTTCAGCCCCAGGGGGATCATGGGGGCAGTGACGCCTTCGCTAGAACCAGAAGTATTGAGTCCAAACTCTAGGGCTGGACTCTGCTGTTCTCAGTGGCCCTGGAGTCACCCACTACTACTCCTGCTACACGGGACGCACCTCCCCCAATTCTGGTACAGCACACCATGTCTCTCAGGTATTGCCTGGGTGCCGGCCCTGCACACACAGGCGTGGTGGTGGTGTCCTCATGCTCACACGCACATGCGCCTCTGGGGCCAGTCTGTGTCCCTGCACACATGTGCATGCACACGTGCCTTCAAGGCCAGTCCGTGTCCTTGCTCATGCTTGCACACACACGTGCCTCTGGGGCCAGTCCACGTCCTTGCACACACTCACAAACGCACCTCTCGGGCTGGGCCGTGTCCCCACTGTTGTCAAGCCCCGCCAGCTCCTCCTTCAGCAGCTGCAGGCTGGAGTTGACGTCGCTCAGTTCCAGGGCCACAGTCTCCCTGACGCGGGCGTTGCTGGTAGCTCTAGAGGAGGGAGGCCGAGGTGAAGCCCTAGCGCTGCCAAGGGACCCACGCCCCAGGGCTTCATCGCAGCCCAAGCTCTGAAGCCCATTCCACAGTGATGTGCCAAGGGGCCCAGCCACCCTGGGAGGCAGTGGTGGGGTCCAGGGCCCACCAGATGACCCCTTCCTCTCTGAGGTTCCCTGTGGGTCATGTAGTTTCCTGTCTGTACATGTATGTCATGACTCTGGCCTGAGTACATGTGCTCGGACCCAGAACTTCCAGGGCGTAAGTCCTCCCACCACCTCTCACTCCCCCAGGACATGGCTCACGCCTGTCCTCTGGAAACTGGAAGGCAGCTTCTCTGGAGAGATGGGATCGGACTCCCTCTGTGCCTGTCAGAGGGACCGGCGGGTGCCCAGGAAGGCACGGGGTGGACAGGGAGGCGGGGCTGCTAAGGAAAAGGAGGGCCTGGTGGAGCCCTGGTCTGCAGCTGGCTTTGCGCCCACTGGTGGGCGCTCGGGCAGGCGGGGCCCCCTTCCCGGGCCTCAGATCAGCACCTGGAGAACAGGTGGGTGTGAAGGTCTGAGCACACAGGCTCCGAGGCAGACTCGTTCCTGTCTCAAGGACTCATTCTCAGGTCCTCAACCTCGGGACACCTGTCACTTGCCACAGCTCAGCCTAAGAAGTGCAGCTGCTATGCTCATCCCAGTGGGGACATCCTCTCCAGCTTAGCACGGAACCCGGATGGCCCTGAGCTGACCCTGCCAGTGAGGGCCACCAAGATGGGGGCCTGAGTCATCTGTGAGCGTCCCAGCTGGGCAGCATGGCTGCCCCAGACCCTGGTGCGAAGTCCAGCCCTGCCTCTCAGGAGCCTGAACAGGAGGCCTGGTCATGGACTTACACGTGGACCAAAAGACCAGGCACCCGCTGGGTCATTGCCTGCCCCGGAGTGAGCCTGCCTCACGGGGGCCTCTGGGAACACAGCCCTGCTTTCCTGGGGGTCCAGCCGGGGGCGGGTGTCCCGGGCAGCCAGCGCCCACCTGTACAGGTTCTCAGCACCCGTCCGCATTCTCAGCTCCCTGTCGATCTGCTGGTGGATCCGGGCCCTGCGGCTCTGCAGGTGGCCATGCGGTGAATCTGCCGGGAGGTCACAGCCCTGCGGAGAGGCCACAGGTCACCAGGGCCAGGCCAGCAAGGACATGGCGGGCAGGGACAGGGCTGGACTGCCCTGGGAAGATGCTGGGCCCGTTGGGTGCCACTCTGGGGCTCAGAAGCCAGTTGGAGCCCCTCCTGGAGATGGCCAATTGCTCCCCGCATCCTGCACTTCTGAATTCCTTCTGTAACCCTCATGACCCATCCTGCCCACACAAACGCCAGACTGTGCGTCTGATGGAGGGGATGCCCAGCCAGCTCCTGCCAGGGAGAGCACCTGATGGAGGGCACCCTGCCTGCAGGGTGCTGGGTCTCCCCCGGGCCACACGCGCTGTGGCCAGGCTCTGTCCCAGTTGGCTGCTTACTTGCGGCAAATCCCCAAACCACAGGCCCCAAGGGTCAATCCGCTCATAAGCAGCGGGCCAGGCCTTCTGGCATCCCCATCTGAGGTGCCTCAGTGCGGGTTCTGCCCTGCACACGGGCAATCCTGCCAGCCTGCCTGTGTCCCGGGCCCCAGGCAGGGAGCCCTGTGGCAGGTTCAGAGGGCGAGAGGTTTCCTCTGTGAGGGGAGGAGCTTTCAGGGCCCCAGTGGGGCTGGTGCAGTTGCTGCCATTTAGGGACCTCCTGGCCTGGTCAGTCACCAGCCTGAGAGTTGGGAAGGACTTCTCAGAATGTTCTTCCTTGGACCATGTCCTCAGGCTCAGGTGGTCTCCTGGCCCTGGAACAGAACAGGGAAGAGGACATACTGCCTCCTAGGACCCCACCCTGAAAGCATAGATGCGCAGGGCTAATGCAGCCTCTCTGCAGTGGCTGCTGTTTTGCACAAATCTGAGGATGTATGTCCCCGCTGTCACACACACAGCAGTCCCTGCCTCCTGGGGGCTCTAGCTTATCCCAGCTCCACAGCAGGAGGCACCCTAAAGAAGGCTTTACTCTCTTGCACAGACAAGACTCATGGCACATGGCCACCTTGGATTACAGTCCAGTGTTTCCTCCACATTCCAGTATGCTCAGGAGAGATCAATCAGGGAAGACTTCGTGCAGGAGGAAGCATTCTTCTGGGACTTCCAAGTGGTCCTGAGGTTACTGGGGAGAGGGGACTTGTCCCCATTGCACAATGGGAGAGAGACAGCAACCACCTTGGATGACTGCCTGCTGGGGGACTCTGGGCAGGTCCTCATCTATAGACGGAAAGGGGGCTGGTGTCAAGGTGGCATCAGGCAGGAAGAAGACAAAATACAGCTCTCCTCTCTCCGCTCTGCTGGTTGAGTGTCTGTCTTCCCACTGGCCTTCACCTCTTCCCCATGGTACCTCCCACACCCACTTGGTGCAGAAGGGAATGAGAAGAGGACACAGGCAGTCTCCCTTCCAGGAGGCCTGAGAATCCGGAGCAGGGGGCAGGCCACAGCCAAAGCTTTACTCCTCTCCCTCTGATGGTCCAGCTGCACAGCTCCAGCCTAAGGTTCTGAGTGAGCAGCATGGCTGTCTGCCGGGGGAGGGGCACTCCATGTACTGGGGAGAGGCTGCCAGCCCTGCGGGGCTGTCCTGTCAACACAGCTCACTGGGTATCCGATGTCAAGTGCTCTCGGAGAGATGTGCTTGAAGTCAGGAGACCATAGTCCCCTCTGAGGCCTGCAGTCAGCACCCCTCATGGCCTCGTGACCCCAATACACCCTCCAGGATGTAGGTTGACTGCATGACTTGGTAGGAAGTGCGACTGCGGCCCAATTTGCAGTGCTGGGTGGGTGAGAGCCACGCTCACCCGCATTTCCACACCGGGTGGTGAAGGGGTCTGCCAGCTCACGCATGTGTGGAAGAACCCCCACCTGATGGAGAAGAGCAGCAAGCCTCTCCCACGCTCCCCCTGCTGCAGTCCTGGCAGCACTGGTCTAATAAATTCCCCAGAAGCCCAGGAGGAAATGGCAGGGGCAGTGGCCAGAACTGGCTAAATGTGCAGGCAACTAGGCCAGCACAGGTCTGGTAACAGACTGCAAGATGGTTGGCGGGGCCAGGCCTCACACCCTCCCTGGTGTAGGTGCAGCTATGCTTGGTGGTACCGGACTGAAAACTCTTGTGTATGTGGATGCCCAAGGCCTGGCATAAACACTGGGAAGCCTCTCAGTGACTCCCAGGGAACGACCAGGCTCCCAGGCTGCAAGGTGAGGCAGCCAGAGCGCACCTCCTCCTCAGACACAGACTCAAATGTCTCCACCCTCCTCCCTTCTACCGCTTCCTCAGTCCTCCTGGAAATGGTCCACAGTCCACAGCCCCCGCGGGATCAGGGATTTCAGGAGGGGGCAGAGGTGCCGGGAAGTGAGGAGGGACAAACCACTCTGCTGGGAAATCCTCCAGCCATTTCCTGTTCCCCGGGGGGCATCAGGCACCTGTTGCTAAAAGTTCCATCAAACAGAGCTGGGTGGCTAGGGCACAGCTGAACAGCCTTAGGAGAGAGGGAACAGCTAGGAAAGGAGGAAGACAGATCCCAGGAACAAACACGAGGGCCACGGGCTGTCACTGACCAGAGCCCAGCACCTGCCAGAGAAGGGGGTCCTGGAGTGTTGGAGAAAACCACGAGCTGTACTTGCGCTCCGACCTGTTCCGGTCGACGCAGGAGGGGGTCCCCCAAACCCACTAGACAGGAGACCAGCGGCCGGGCTCTGGGTCCGAACGGGTTTCCAGTTCCCCAGCGTCAAGCTCACCTTGCCTCTGAGGGGCGTGCGATACGCGACCTTTCGCCCCGGAGTCCAGCGGCGCGCTCGGACGGGAGAAACCAGTGCCGATCCCGCAGCCCAGCGCTCGCCGGCGGCAGCGGGCAACAGGTGCGGCCGGGTCTGGGAACCCACCTCCCGGCGCCCCCCGCCCGCCAGGCGCTCCCACCTTGCGGACGGTGCCGGCCGCTTGCAGCCGGGCCCTTTCCTCGCCGGCTCCCGGGCCGTCCGATCTGTCCTCGGGGACCATCGCCGCTCGCTCTTCGGGCCGCGCCCGCCTGGAGGCCGTCGCAGGCGCAGGGACCCCGGGTGCGCGGGACCCCGCACTGCCCTCTCCTGGGGGCGGCTGCCCGGCCGGCAGGAGGGGCGGGGCGCAGGCCTCCGAGCGTGCGAAACTTCCCGCTGCCCAATCGGCGGCCGCGGCGACTCCGACGGACAGCAGCGCCGGCCAACCAGAGCGTGAGGGAGGTGGTTCCCGAAGCCAGGCCCTACCCACTCGCGCCCGCGGAGCCCCGGGGGAATGTGGTCGCCCCTGGCAACCGCCGGCCGGCGGAAAAGGGAAAAACAAGGCGCAGCGCAGGGCCCAGGGGCAGTCCGGGTTCCACCTGACAGGCGGCGGGGCCTCCGCGGGGCTAGTCCGTCACCCGCGATGGCTTGTTAATGGTTTTCCTGGCACGAGCGCCGGTGCAGCTTTTAAGGTCCGCTTTGCTGTCTTCGCTTGGGGAGCCAGGCTCTGGCCTGGTGACCAGAATCCCCTTCCAGAACCTTCCTCGGGAACCCGCTTCTGGAGCCCACACTCCAGAACCTCCCCTAGGCAACTTACTTCCAGAATCATCTTACTTTCACCACCTACATCTAGAACTGACTTACCTCCCGGGACCGGCCTGCCTCCAGAACCGAACTCTCCCTAACCTGCTCTCACTGCAGGGTTACCCCCCAGGCCCTTCATAATTTCTCTAGTTGGCAACTCTGTAACGCACTCAGATTTCATGTGGGGCTCACCTCACCGAAGACCAGGGGCAGGAACACCAGAGCATAAGCAGTAGCCATAGCACATCTTCATCAGGTTCCGGTAAATTTCCAGCCTTGTACATCGTAACCATCTCCCCACGGTCCCTGCCGTGCCTCGGTGCAGAGCCCTGGGCCCCTCCCCAAATGGCCACGCCAGATCCTGTAGTTCCCCAGAGCTAAATCCTGTAAGATGAGCTCCTTGGCCCACCCTGGCCATCTGAAACAATAGTAACAACAAAATAAGGTAATTGTTAACTCTGAGGAAAATAAAATGTAACACATAATATGACCTGACTCAGCTATGTATTTCAGGCTGTCCTGGCAGCTTGGCCATAGGACCACCATAAGGAGTTTCTGTTAGGAGGAGGGGAGGGGGGAAGGGTGAAGAAAAGTGGGTGAGAGAAGCTGAAGCTTCATTCTGCTGAGGGGAAGTCAGTAGATAAGGCCTCAGTTGGAAAGCAGAATTCCAGATGCAGAAGCATGTGGTCCGGGACTTTGCTGGTGGCGCAGTGGATAGGAATCCATCTGCCTACGTGGAGGACACAGGTTTCATCCCTGGTCCAGGAAGATTCCACATACCATGGAGCAACTAAACACCACAACTACTGAAGCCTGCATGCCCCAGAGCCTGTGCTCCATTACAAGAAAAGTCACTTCAAGGAGAAGTCCGTGTACGGCAATGAAGAATAACCCCCACTAGCCACAACTAGAGAAAGCCTGCACAAAGCAGCGGAGACCCAGCACAGCCAAAAATAAATAGATAAATAAAGAAAAACCTCCAGTTGCAGATGCATGTTCTTCAGAACTGTGGGATTCAACACCAAATCTGCAGCTCAGAGTTAAAAGCGGTCACCCCTGGAGAGGCAGTGGGGTGCTGGAGGAGGTTCCTTCTTGGCTCAGCAGGTCTTGGAGACCTGAGGCTGGTAAAGCCCCAAACCTTCTATAACAAAGTAACCCCAAAACTTGTGTTTTGAAGAATGGATGTCTAGTAATTGACAACAAAAAGGATCCAAAATGAAAGGAAACCATTGGAAATGAAGAGATACTTCTAAATAAGGTGTGAATTAGAAGAAAGAATGCAAACTGCATGTTACCTAAAAAATAACTAGAAAGTAAATAACATTATGTAAAATTTATAGAACAAAAGGAAATTCTGTAACTTTATGTGAGTTTATTACTATGTAGGTATCATATATATGTGAAGTAAATTAACCAAATTAAAAAAAAAGGAGGAGGAAATAGCAAAACATTTAAGGCTGACATCAGTTACATAGCAGAGAAACTGAGGGTTTGAGGGAAAAAATTGATTAATACCCAAGAGGCCCAATCAGGGTGGGAAAAAAAGATTTTATCCGCTGGACTCCGCCTCTGACTGCATAAGATTGGGTGCATTGCTTAGCCCCGGGGAGTGAGATGTTTATTATTTTACCCCAGGTCACCACTCACAGGTGGGTGGTGGCAGCAGGTGCATCCGCAGGGGTGTCCACCACAGAGAGTGAGCCTCACAGTGGAGGTGAGGTTACTTCCTCTGGGCTAATTTCTGGTTTCCAGGAAGGAAGAAGCATCAGGAGGAAAGCAAGACATCCCCCCAGTTCCCCCAGAACTTTGTCACGTGGCCTCGTGTGTCTGCATGGGAGGCTGCAAATGCACTGTCCTTGCGTGCCGTCCCAAAATAATTGTGGTTCTGTCTGTCAGTACAACCAGGCTGGGTCTGGATCCCCACAAAAGCACAAGTACACCACATCAAGAAAGGAAAAGAGACAATTACCAAGGCACGGAGAGATAACTACAAACCGTGAGAGAGCATTGTGACAGTAAACTGGTCTGGAGAAGACAGATGATTCTGTTCCCAAATACGAACGATCAAAGCTGACCCCAGAAAAGTGGAAAAACAAGGATAGACCAATGAGTATAGAACAAACTGCTGAAAGGGGCAGCAGACTCAACAGTCCTGCAGCAAATCCATCTGAGAGCAGACATCTCCTCCACTTCTCAGAGGACCCCGGCCTGTAGGGCATGGAGGGACACGGAACGGCTTACAAAGGTCAGAGGCCCACGGCTAAGGAGGAGAGGGCAGGAAGCCCTGCATGGCTCTACCCACACAGCTGAGTGTCAGAACCTGCTGGTGTCTGCCTGCCCCGCCCCTGTTGCTACAGAATCCGCCTGGGAGGGGCGGCCAGTCAGCCCCAGAAGGCAGAGACCTCCGTGCAAGAAATTTAACCAAAAAAACCCCCTATTAGGACTAATTAGATAATTTGGTAAGGTAGCTAAGCTAACTATGTTATGGGCTGAATTTTATCCCTCTTCCAAAGTCTTGTGTTGAAGCCATGACCCTCGAGTGATAGGATTTGGAGGTGAAGCCTATGGGAGGTGATTAGCATTAGATGTACATCAAAGCTGTATATCGTCACCCTGCTTATTTAACTTATATGTGGAGTACATCATGCAAAATACTGGGCTGGATGAAGCACAAGCTAGAATCAAGTTTGCCAGGAGAAATATCAGTAACCTCAGATATGCAGATGACGCCACCCTTATGGCAGAAGGCGAAGAAAAACTAAAGAGCCTCTTGATGAAAGTGAAAAAGTTGGCTTGAGGCTCAACATTCAGAAAACTAAGATCATGGCATCTGGTCCCATGACTTCATGGCAAATAGATGGGTAAACAGTGGAAACAGTGAGAGACTTTATTTTTTTGGGCTCCAAAATCACTGAAGATGGTGACTGCAGCCATGAAGTTTTTAAAAGACACTTGCTACTTGGAAGAAAAACTATGACCAACCTAGACAGCATATTAAAAAACAGAGACATTACGTTGCCAACAAAGGTCTGTCTAGTCAAAGCTATAGTTTTTCCAGTAGTCATGTATGGATGTGAGAGTTGGACCATAAAGAAAGCTGAGCACTGAATAATTGATGCTTTTGAACTGTGGTGTTGGAGGAGACTCTTGAGAGTCCCTTGGACTGCAAGGAGATCCAACCAGTCTATCCTAAAGAAAATCAGTCCTGAATATTCATTGGAAGGACTGATGCTGAAGTTGAAACTCCAATCCTTTGGCCGTGGATGGGAAGAACTGACTCATTGGAAAAGACCCAGATGCTGGGAAAGATTGAAGGCAGGAGGAGAAGGGGGCGACAGAGGATGAGATGGTTGGATGGCATCACTGACTTAATGACCATGAGTTTGAGCAAACTCCAGGAGTTGGTGATGGACAGGGAAGCCTTGTGTGCTGTAGTCTACGGGGTTTCAAAGAGTAGGACACAACTGAGTGACTGAACTGACCTGACCTGAGGGTGGGGACCCCACAATGGGATTAGTGTCTTTATATATTAAAAAAAAAGAGATACCAGGGGGTTCCCTGGTGGGCCAATAGTTAGGACTCTCCACTTTCATTGCCAAGGGCCTAGGTTTGGTCCCTGGTTGGGGAACTAAGATTCCACAAGCTGCATGGTGGGACCAAAGAAAAAAAAGAGAGATCAGAGTTTGCTTTCTCAGCCACATGAGGACACAGTGAGAAGGTGGCTGTCTGCAAACCGGGAAAAGAGTCTTTACATGAGCTGAATTGGCTGGCTCCTCGATCTTGGACTTCACCTCCAGAACTGTGAGAAAATAAATTTCTCTCCATGGCAGTACAAGTCCTGATGGGCTCTGGCTCACAATTTTACACTGATCGGTACTTTGCACATGCAAACCAGATGGGCTCTCAATGTGAATGATCTTTGAATTGGAAGAAAGCTGGGCTCTGTTCTGAGCCTTTGGCCATCTGGAGAGTCACCAGCCAGCCCAAGACCCAGGGGCCATGCAACTGGAGGAGCCAGGACCCTCATAGCATCCAGCACCTTCTCCACATACAGCCTGCTCCATGGGGAATGCCCAAGGGAGCCAGAAATGTACTAGGAGGAGGAGGTGGGACAGAGAAACCCAGAGAAAGCAGCTGATTCTAGAAAATTCCCATCCTGTCTGGATTGGGCTAATTTGATTGGGCCTCTTCTCCATGAGGCACTGCAGAATTTGGGTCTGGGAGCTTTCAGTTTGATGCTAAATGTCAGATGACTTGGTGAAAAGTGGTGGCACTTTCATTGAGTTTCTCTCTGGTCCCAAGTCTCAATTAGGACCGGTGCTAACACTGTTTATTTACATTTGCATTTTTTTCAGAATGAGGGGCAGAGGAGTCAGGCTCTGGAGGCCCAGGATTGGCAAAGAATTCCATTACTCACATACTTGCTCACTGTTGTGACATGCTAAGAGTTTGGAGTTTTGGTGTGTGCCTCTACTTAGAGGGTACGCAACATAAACTGAAGAATAAATAACTGTAAACTAAACTGAAGAATAAATAACCGTAAAGCCCGAAGGGAGCATGATATACTGCTGTGTGTGAGCCACTTGTCTGTGACAAATGGCATACCAGGCACCGCAGGACCACAGGAAGCCTTAATCAATGGTGGTAATAGCCACCGATGCATCACTGTGTGGGCGTCACCAAGGGACTGACGCTGTAGAAGAATCAACGGGACGTGAAAAAGGAATTGTTTGTAAATACAATCAACAATTTTGTGTTCCTGAGAAAGCCATTCATCATTGGGAAACCACCTTTAGTAAAAGATGCACCCGGCTTCCCAGTGAGGCAGGGCCATCAATCCTGCCCAAGTCCCAGCTCAGGGCTGTCACAGGCTCGGGAAACAGACACACATATTTATTCTTATTTGAAGGCAAATTGAGAGTCACTTCTTGGGGGGAAAAGTGAGCAGAGGGCACCTATAAAAGCCTCTTGGGAGCAGAGTGAGTGCCTGAAAAATGTCTTCTTCTTTGGGGCACCTGGCCCAGGGCCCCGAGTGCCCAGCACGCTCTGCACCTTTCCTTGACCACGTCTGCGCTGTCTCCCTCCTGGACATGTGGTACATGTGGGGTGGGAAGGAGAGGTCTCTTTTAGCAAGGAAGGTGCTTCTGGGGGAATGGCTCTTTAGGGGATGAAGTCTAAGGAAGGTCCTTGTAGTCTGGCATCGTGGCCTGGCTCCACAGACATTTTTCTGGCCCCTCTGGGGAACTGGTTTCATCCTTACAACAGTGCAAGGTGAGGACGCCCAGAGCATGGCGGTTACTGGTCCGATTCCGGGCAGACGGCTGGAGGCGCCTGCAGGTCTTCCCCTACTGAAGCCTCCCCACAGCCCTCTCGGTGGATCCTGTGGCCGAGGACCACCTCGTGCTCTGGAGGAGTGGAGGCCAGGTGGGGGGTGGGCTGCAGGCAGGACCGCGCCTGTGCTGGGACAGTCATGGACAAGCGGCACAGCCATTCACGGCAACGCTGGGAAGAGGAGGAGCGGCTGGGGCAGCAGGGCTGGACCACAAGCCACCCAGAGGGACGGGGAGGGAGGAGCAGGGTCCAAGGAGCGCCCGTGAGCGTGGCTTTGTCCCACGCTGCTGACGGCCGATGGGACACAGCCAGGGAAGGTGGTGGAGGACTCTGGAGACCTTGCTGGGGCCTGTCAGTGGGCTGTGGGGGCAAAAGGCTGCTCTGAGAGAATTGAAAGTGAGCCAGACGACAGGAAGTGAGCATGTGTGTGGGGAGTTCTGCTCTGGGGGTGCAGAGAGCTGGTGGGACATGTGGCTGTGGGGTCAGGGGAGAGCTGAGGGGCTGGCTGGGTTTTAACGGAGTGAACAGCAGTCCAGCCGCAGGTACCGGAGGAGGCAGAGCCCTGGTCACAGGCAGGGCGCACATGGGTGGGGGACACAGACGCTCCCTGTGGGCTGCTGCTGTGTTGGTGACATAGGAAGCAAGGCCCTCGCTGAGAGTGGGCCGGGGAGGGGTGCTGGAGGTCACAGCAGGGGAGGAGGGGGACATCTAAGGACAGGGAGTGGGGATTTCTGGCAGGGGGGCTCCCGCTGGTGTGTGGCTGCGCAGAAGGCGGACGGCTGGGTTTAGCCAGGGTTTAAATGGGTGAGGGGGCAGCCAAGTGTGCTTTGCAGACGGACTGTGCCTCTGATAGACTGTGGCACCTAGGAGAAGGAAAACAACCTTTATTCCAAAGACTCATTCCTTTGCAACCTAATCCAGAAAGACTCAGTTTCGGGTGGAGGTAACTTTGACATCACAACTGAACACCCTGTTGTCAGGCTGTTTAGGATACAATTTATGAAATATGTTTGATGCCTGCCCAGTCAACTGACAACAAGGCTCTTATGCCAAATCCTGGGCCACCTAGACGTAGCTTCCCTTGAAAAATATATATCATCAGAAAATATGCATCATTTATTTACCAAGCAAAAAAGGGGCATAATTCAGTGGAACCAAAGCTTTCTTCTCCCTGAAAACCTGTTTCTATTTTCCACGTATGACTAATTTTTAATCTCAGTGACTGAGCGGTAATGCCATTGTCACTGATGCTGACAATGGGGTTTTTTAAGAAGCATATGATAGATGTTGCCTTCATGGTATCCTGTTTTGGTTATCGCTCCTGTGGCGTTCAGAATAAAATGAGTTCAGCCTCCGTGAATGTCTAGCAAATCCAGGCACAATTGTAGATTAGATGCCATCTTTATGCAAAACTTGCACTGCACACACTCGGCTGGCAGCGAGAGGCCATGGAGACAACAGAAGACTTTCGTCTGGCCATTATTCACCAAAGCAGGAAAATAGCTATTTACCTAACACCCATTTGTTAAGAGAGTAGGAAAATGGAATCTTTAATAACATCAAACAAAGGCACCAGAAGTTATAAAACAGCAACCAAGTTGTAAAATAAGGAGCATGTTTGTAATGGCCTTCTCTGTTTTCACCTAAGGTATGATTTTAGGTGGTTTTCCTGTGATGGGGTTTTAGGGTCACAGGACACCCCACCCATGCAGACATGAAAACTGGAGCCTTGAGTGCCATTCTCAATTCCTCTCGTCCCCAGCTCCATCACCCTGAGCTGGCGGGCCTCACCGCTGTCTCCCAAGGGACCAGGCACAGAGTTGCCCACAGGACTCCCTGCCCCGCGAGCTGTCTTGCCCACTGCGGTCCATTCAACGCTCTAAATGCAACGGGGCGTGGGGTGGGGGGTGGTTATATTCCCTAACCTGACAGCGCCTCGCCAACCCGGTGTCTGCACCATCACCACTAGCCCTTCCCCAAGCCCAACCCCAACCTGCAGGTGCATACGCACATTCACACACATGTATTCACACTCACACACACTTGGGCGAAGATCTTCTATGAGGCCTTGGCCCTGGGCTGCTCCTTATTGCCCCCACTGTCCTGGCCCAGCTCCGCCTCCCGCGCGCCCTTCGTGGAGGAGTTTGCGCCTCAGGCTCGCGCCTGTCTTGCCCGCGCAGGCGCTTCCCAGCCTTCCAGGCTGGCCCCGTCGAGGCGCTGCACGTGGAGGCCTCGCTGCGCGTGCACAGACAGCATCACAGGGGCCGGCACGTCAGGGTGGCCGAGCAGTCGCTGTGAGGCCCGGCGACGTCGGGGACCCGCAGGTGGGACGGCCGGAGCGCGTGGCGAGTGGGGCCCGGAGGGGGACGTTCCTTCCGGTCCCCTCTTCTGCGCTCGAGCCTGCAGGGCCCTGAGCCCGCGCGGCCGCGCTGGGAATGGGCCTGGACCGCTGTTCACGATGCACATCCTCTCCGGGCGGGGGCGCCCTGGACCCGAGTCTCCACCTTCGCCCCTGGGTCGTCCAGGTCGTGGAGCCACCCCCCTCATTTCCTGAGTTCTCAGCTGCCTTCTTTCTCTTTGTTACCTACTGGCGTTCATCTTGTAAGAAACACCTTGAGTTAACTTTTGTTTTCTTTTTCCTTTTCCTTTTGACCTGTGCATCTAAGGCCGTAAGTACTCATGTAGAATTGGCAAACGGGCTATTTTTCAGTGGAGTTATGCTTGCCTTCAAGATAGTCAATTGTGATGTTTAAAAATATAAAGATAATGACAGCTAAAACGCAGGGAAACGCTCAGGACTTGTTAACTGAAACTCTGCCTAGAGACTGTTTCCCTGCTAATGGGGTCAGGAACGCCGAGCACCTGCTGGTGCACCTATTCAGAGAGACGTCCTGAGCAGCGGGCCTTGCTCTTCTCTTGGCTGTGGGTGGACGTGATTTAGCTCTTGCTGTGTTTTAGAGGTTGACACGCCCAGTGGGACCACCAGCCACAGGTGTGATGGACCACAGGCTGCCCCTGCACATGGGCCCAGGCTCACCTCCTCACCAACTGACCTGCTGCCCACCTGGCCTTCTCTGTGAGGCATCTCAACTGTGTCTTCTTACAGCTGGAGACAGACAATTACCAATAAAGAAGACACAATGGGAGATGGTCCCGTGTCCGGTTTGAAGCCTTTCTTGGTGAAGGATAAGGTTGTCCTCGGGAGGTAACTGAATGTTTCTGGGCAGAAGTGGCCTTTGCTCAGTGAATTGTGATTTTTGTTAACAAGCTGGCTCAGCTCTTGAAACAGCCTAGTCTAACTGACCCGATCCCCGAACTAACGGAAAATAGGATGGGAGCAGCCTGTGCACACAGATGAGGCCCAGGTGGTGTCAAGCAAGGAGACTGTCAGGCTGGGGAGGGAGACGGAGGGGTGATCCTGTCGCTCTTCTGTGAAGTTTGTGTTTCTTCCAGCCAGAGTCATCATTTCAGTGTTGGCTTTGCATTTCCTCCCTTGGGATTCACATTACATTCTTTTTTTCCCATTAAAAGAAGAGGCAGAATACTGGCCAGATGAACCTAGAAAACCCAAAGAAACAGAAAGTGAAGGAGCCAAGTCAAAAAAATCAGGGGAGATGTGGGAAAGACCAGGTTTGAATCTTTCATTTGCTGTTAAATGTTCTATTTTTAAACTTACAGTCTTCAGTAAGTTATATTCTTCTTCTTTTTTTTTAAACCCACAAGCCTTTCTTCATTTTCATGTCATTTTGATAGTTTTTCAAATATGCACTTTGTGTTCTCGTGAAGTGCCTTGATTTCTAATTCCAGAAGGCGTGCTGCTTACCGCGTGGTGCCTTGTCCTTGGGATCGGGCCTGGTGGGGGGTTGTCAGTCACTCCTCCTGAGAACCCTTTGGCGTGGCTGCCACCTGCTTACTGAGTTCTGAGGAAGTTGCTGGCCAGGGGTGTCTCAGTGGCCTGGATCTGACTTGCTCACTTCCTGAGGATCATGTTTGGTCTCTCCAGGGGCCACCTATAGGACACACTGGTGGTGGTCGCTTTTGTGTTTTAACAGTTCTAACCATTTACTGCAACATGAAAATGTTCTCAGTAAAGCTCTGTCTTTTAAGACTCATAGCATTACCTGAAAGAAGAAAATACCTTCTCCATTTCCAGAGATACTGGGTAAGGTTTGTTCTGTGTCCCTTTCTTCTGTGCAGGAGGTGAGGATATGGTGGGAGGGGTAGTGACGGCACCTCTGTCCTGAGTCTGGCCTTGGCAGTGGACTTGGGACCTGCTCTCCCTGTTTTTATCCAGTCTTCGCTTTCACTTGGGCAGAAGCTGAGAATGCAGTAGAACTACAGAGTGACTGGTCACAGGAGCTGCCGCAGGAAAGTAGTCTCTAGCTTGTTCTGTGAGAGCCCACATGTCAGGCCACTGACCTGAAGACTGGCCCTCTCAGTTGCCGTTGGTCCTCCTTTTTATGGTTTTCATTTTAAATAAAGAATCTTGTCAGAAATAATTGTAAACAAGGTAACAATCAATGTAACCAAATTCTGTTTCAAAGAATAGAACCAAAAACAGTTTAAAAGGCATTAGGTATACAGTTGTCACTGACCTTTATTTACATCTATTTTCTGCCACTTTCTTGTCTCAGAGGGTAGTGTAAATAGCTCCCTTTGTCCAGTAAAACCAAGAAAGAAACCTGATGGAAAAAGCCAGGGTAGGTTTTGCTTTTGGAAACTTTGGTACTGGAAACAATTGTGTGGCTTGATGACAGGATTTGCATTTCAGTTCATGGTGAAAGGAGTCTAAGCTTTGAAATCAGGCAGTTCGAGCTCTGTTGTTCTAATAGTATTTCCAGTTTGGAATGAAGCGCCTGGCCTCCAAGTACAGAAGTAGTTAGTTTGAATCATGTCAGATCTGCTGGGCTGGGGTGGGGGGTGGGCTGCTCCCTCTCTGGCTGCTGTTGCTGCCTTGAGCCCCCTGCCCTCTTTCCTTCCCTCTCTCCCTCTGTCCCTGGCTCTCCGACCCACTGGGAGCCCTGGGAGCACCGTGAGCAGGCTCTGCAGCCCCCACGCCCCCACGTGGGGATTCTCACGGTGTGGCATCACAAGTGGTCACCTGTTGCTGAAGTTTTGGGAGCCTGCTTGTCGGGCAGACACAAAGGTGCGGCCCTGCGCTGCGAGCAGGGGCAGGGTGTCTTCTCTGCCTGGTGTCCTCTTCCAGCTTTCCTTTTCCTCTCCTGGAAAATGTCAAGAAAATTTGGGAAACTTCCCTTTTGTGTTTGTTTGTATCGTGATAGCACTCATTTAATGTAAAATTCATTTTAACCGTTTCAGAGTGTACAGTCCAGCGGCACTAGGTACGTTCACAGTCTTGGGCAACCATCAGCACTAACTCCAGAATTTTTTCATCACTTCAAAGGGAAACCCCATACCGCTCTTCTCCCTCTTCACCCAGCCCGTCACAACCTCTAATCGGCCTTTTGTTTCTATGGATTTCCTTATTCCGGGTATTTTGTACAAGTGGATCATACTGTATTTGTCCTTTTGTGTCTGGCTTTTTTCACTTAATGTATTTTCTAGATTCATCCACACTGTAGCCTGTGTATCAGTGCTGCATTTTTATGGCTGAAAATATTTCTGTTTGAACAGACTGCCTTTTGAGTACCCAGTCACCTGGTGGTGGGTATTTCGGGTTGTTTCCACCTCTGAGCTGTTGTAAATACTGCTGCTATGACGATTCACTTGCAGTGCTTTGAACGCCTTGAGTGCAGTTGCTGGGTCTCGCGGGAGCCGTTCGCCTGGCTCAGGAGCTGCCACAGTTTCCCAGGTGACTGCACAATTTAACATCCCCACCAGCAACATACAAGGAGCTTGAGTTCTCCATGTCCCTGCTAGTGATTGCTATTTCCATCTTTTTTGCTGGAGCCATTCTTTTTGTTGTTCTTCAGTCACTAAATCGTGTCTGACTCTTTGCAGCCCCGTGGACTGCCACACGCCAGGCTCCCGTGTCCTTCACTGTCTCCCGGAGTAGCCATCCTTGTGGGTGTGGGCTGTTTCGGGTGGTCAGTCAGCTGGTAGTGGGATGTCCCAGTGGGAGGCTGGGACCAGGAACCAGCCTTGTTCCTGGTCCCCACAGGGCCTACTCTGTGGGGGTGTTTGTGTGGCAGCCGAGGGGGTGCCCTTCCTCTGCCCATTATATCTGATCGCTCCGTTTCGTTTGGGCAGGTGCTGCCTAAAGGTCACTCTTGAAGGATCGCTTTTCTAAACCAATGATTCCTTGGCAGTCAGTATTGAGCAGGACAGAGGTGGACCCAGTGAGGGACAGGGCCGGCCCCGCCAGCTGCTCCTTCTGCAGCCCCAGCAGGTCTCCTGTTGGCAAGAGGTGTGCCAGGGGTGTTCGTGGCTTCCAGCAGCTTGTCCGTGTCAGACTGCCTTTGTGCTCATTGAGCCCCCCGCCCACAGATGTGAATATGCTCATAGTTCCGAGCACATTGTGAAAAACAGAAAAAAGTCCACTGAAAAGATTGGAGACTCTGTACTCCATGTTATTTTGAATCTTTCCTCTGTTTTAGGAAATCTTTCCTCTGTTTTAGTACTTAGGAAATACTGTTTGTAAGTATTTATGTCTAGTTTTGTATTCTAGACCTGCAGAGATCAGCAAGCCAGTGAAGAAAAATAACTGTGAAAAGCTCTCCAGGAAAAAAGGCCAGGTGACATCCTCAGGTGTTACATCGTGAGCAGCTTTCTAAGCACTCGCGCTTGGGTGTTCAGTCTTGCAGGTGCAGGAAGACAGTGGGGACTTCACTGAAGGTCCAGTGGTTAGGACTCTGCGCCTCCATCTCAGGGGCATGGCTTCCATCTGTTGTGTCTGGTCTCCTGCTGTGTGGCCAGAAAGTAGAAGACAGTGAATGACTTCACTGTCTGACGTGTCCACCTTGCTAAGAGGAATGTCTGGAGCCTGGGTGCCCTCTGCTCTGGTGGTTGGTGGACAGGCTGTGCGCCGCCCTGGGCCCACTCCTGAGGAGGGCCGCCAGGGCTGAGACACGCGCCATCTGCTGAGGCTGCTTCAGAGGCAGTGGAGACAGGGCTGGGTGGGGTGCCCTCCGCTGGCAGCCCTGTGGGGAAGGGCGCGGGCGCCAGGGGCTGCCGGGCAGACACGCAGACGGGGGCCAGAGGACTCTCCCCCTGTGGGGACGCTGGCCGACACGCGAAAGACAACACAGGTGGGGTATGGGCCCCAGAAGGAGAGGAAGGGAGACATGGGAGTGCAGAGCTGGGGGGCGCCTCCGAGCGCGGACGCCGCCCGCCGGAGGAGGACGCCCAGCAGCAGAAGCGACAGAAGCGTGGCCTGGAGCAGCGCAGAGGCCGCGAGGAGGAGCCAGTCGGGGCGACGTGCGGAGGGAGCGTCAAGAAGAGGCTCGGGGAGGCCACCATAGGGCCGGGGCAGCACGGAGCAGGCAGGTGGAGATGGTACACCCTGCCACCAGTCACCGCCCCCAACCTGTCACGACCCCGGAGCCCCAGTGCCCCCAGCGCCTCCAAGCCTCTTTCATGCTCTTGGGAGCCGGAGGAACAGGTCATGCTGTCAGTGTTGGCCTTTTCTGCCAGCTGTGCGCCTGTGGTGGGTACCCCAGAATGCTGTAGTGGGGACTGGCTAGCTTTGATGTGTAGGTCTCACGGGATGCTGGTGAGAACCGGCCCCCATGAAGAGCTTGTTCTGTGTCTGCACTGCTTTTATCCAGTCCTGATGAGGTAGGTACCATCTCCACTTCTCAGATGAGGACACCAAGGTACAGAGAGGTTAAGTAACTTGCTCATGGTCACGCAGCAGAGGAGCAGACACGCCATTGTCAACCATTACCTGAGCTGTCTCCGTGGCCGCTGCCGCAGGTGGCTGTGAGCATCCGGGATGTAGCTGGCCCCAGCGGAGATGTGCAGTGGGTCTGAAGTTCATGGTGATTTCAATAGTAGGAAAAAGAATGTGAACTCACTTTGGGGTTGCAAAGAGGCAGGCATGCCTGAATGACTGAACTGAACTGAACTCCTTTAATAGTTTTGTTGATTTCAGGGAGGCTGGTTGAGGTTAAAACTGGGGATGCAGATACTCACCTTCCCCAGATGGGGCTGACTGTTGTTCTCTGCCTACCTGACCTTCACCTCACTCTCCAGCCTGCAGGACATCAGCTGGAGAGCAGGGCTGGATGGCCTGTGGGGGACAGTTTGCATAATCACAGTGGTCAGTGCAGGGTTCTGCCATACTCCTTTTCTTCACTCTCTCCCCTTGAGAATCTTTTTAAAATTTTTTATTTATATTTGGTTGTGCTGGGTCTTCATTGTGACATGTGCACATGGGCTTTTCTTTAGTTGCAGTGAGTAGGGGCTACTTTCTAGTTATGGTGCATGGGCTTCTCATTGCAGTGTCTTCTCACTGCAGAGCATGGGCTTTAGGGTGCTTGGGCTTTAGTAGTTGCAGCCCGTGGGCTCAGTAGTAGCCACTCCTGGGTTCTAGAACACAGGCTCAATAGCTGTGGTGCATGGGCTTAGCTGATCTGTGGCTTGTGGGATCCTCCCAGATCAGGGATTGAACCTGTGTCTCCTGCATTGGCAGGCAGATTCTTTACTACTGAGCCACTTGGGGAGCCCTCCCTCTGGGATTCTTGTCACATCCACATCAGAACTTATTCTCTTCTCAGGTCAGTTGCTCAGTCATGTCTCTCTTCGACCCCATGGACTCCAGCACACCAGGCCTCCCTGTCCATCACCGACTCCTGGAGTTTACTCAAACTCATGTCCATTGAATTGGTGATGCCATCCAACTAACTCATCCTCTGTCGCCCCCTTCTCCCGCCTGCAATCTTTCCCAGCATCAGGGTCTTTTCCAATGAGTCAGTTCTTCGCATCAGGTGGCCAAAGGATTGGAGTTTCAGATTCAGCATCAGTCCAATGAATATTCAGGACTGATTTTCTTTAGGATGGACTGGTTGAATCTCCTTGCAGTCCAAGGGACTCTCAAGAGTCTTCTCCAACACCACAGTTCAAAAGCATCAATTCTTCGGTGTTCAGCTTTCCTTATAGTCCAACTCTTACATTCATACATGACTATTGTTAAAACCATAGCTTTGACTAGATGGACCTTTGTTGGCAAAATAATGTCTCTGCTTTTTAATATGTTGTCTAGGTTGGTCATAACTTTTCTTCCAAAGAGCAAGCGTCTTTAATTTCATGGCTGCAGTCACAATCTGCAGTGATTTTGCAGCCCCCCAAAATAAAAGTTTCTGTTTCCACTGTTTCCTCATCTGTTTGCCATGAAGTGATGGGACCAGATGCCATGATCTTAGTTTTCTGAATGTTGAGCTTTAAACCAACTTTTTCACTCTCCTCTTTCACTTTCATCAAGAGACTCTTTAGTTCTTCTTCACTTTCTGCCATAAGGGTGGTGTTATTTGCATATCTGAGGTTACTGATATTTCTCCCGGCAATCTTGATTCCAATTTGTGCTTCATCCAGCCCAGCGTTTCTCATGATGTACTCTGCATACAAGTTAAATTAGCAGGGTAGCAATATACAGCCTTGATGTATTCCTTTCCCAATTTGGAACCAGTCTTTTGTTCTATGTCTAGGTCTAACTGGTACTTCCTGACCTGCATACAGGTTTCTCAAGAGGCAGGTCAGGTGGTCTGGTATTCCCATCTCTTGAAGAATTTTCCACAGTTTGTTGTGATCCACAGTCAAAGGCTTTGGCATAGTCAGTAAAGCAGAAGTAGATGTTTTTCTGGAACTCTCTTGCTTTTTCAATCATCCAGTGGTTGTTGGCAATTTGATCTCTGGTTCCTCTGCCTTTTCTAAATCCAGCTTGAACATCTGGAAGTTCATGGTTCATGTACTGTTGAAGCCTGGCTTGGAGAATTTTGAGCATTACTTTGCTAGTGTGTGAGATGAGTGCAGTTTTGCGGTAGTTTGAGTATTCTTTGGCATTGCCTTTCTTTGGGACAGGAATGAAAACTGACCTTTTCCGGTCCTGTGGCCACTGCTAAGTTTTCCAGATTTGCTGGCATATTGAGTGCAGCACTTTGACAGCATTATCTTTTAGGATTTGAAATAGCTCAGCTGGAATTCCATCACCTCCACCAGCTTTGTTTGTAGTGATGCTTTCTAAGGCCCACTTGAGTGATCACACCATCATGATTATCTGGGTCATGAAGATCTTTTTTGTATAGTTCTGTGTATTCTTGCCACCTCTTCCTAATATCTTCTGCTTCTGTTAGGTTCCTACCATTTCTGTCCTTTATTGTGCCCATCTTTGCATGAAATGGTATCTCTAATTTTCTTGAAGAGATCTCTAGTCTTTCCTATTCTATTGTTTTCCTCTATTTCTTTGCATTGATCACTGAGGAAGGCTTTCTTATCTCTCCTTACTATTCTTTGGAACTCTGCATTCAAATGGGTATATCTTTCCTTTTCTCCTTTGCCTTTCACTTCTCTTCTTTTCACAGCTATTTGTAAGGCCTCCTCAGACAACCATTTTGCCTTTTTGCATTTCTTTTTCTTGATCCCTGCCTCCTGTACAATGTCATGAACTTTCATCCATAGTTCTGGCACTCTGTCTATCAGATCTAATCCCTTGACTCTATTTCTTACTCCCACTGTATAATCATAGGGATTTGATTTAGGTCATACCTGAATGGTCTAGTGGTTTTCCCTACTTTCTTCAATTTAAGTCTGCATTTGGCAATAAGGAGTTCATGATCTGAGCCATAGTCAGCTCCTGGTCTTGTTTTTGCTGACTGTATAGAGCTTCTCCATCTTTGGCTGCAAAGAATATAATCAATCTGATTTCAGTATTGACCATCTGGTGATGTCCATGTGTAGAGTCTTCCTTCTCTTGTGTTGTTGGAAGAGGGTGTTTGCTATGACCAATGCATTCTCTTGGCAAAACTCTTATTAGCCTTTGCCCTGCTTCATTCTATACTCCAAGGCCAAATTTGCCTGTTGCATATCTTCAAATCTTAAACATCTCCTCCATGTTTCCTATCTCCTTGTCCTTGTGGTATCCTGTGCCTCTTTACATGTTTCTTCCACCATGCTAATACTTTCTTCAGCTGTGTCTAATCTACTACCTAACCTACCCACTGAGTTCTGCTTCAATGACTGTAGTTTTTATTTCTAAAAATTGTTTTAAAAACCTTGCCTTTTCATACCTGATATTTTCTTATCGCTTTGTCACTGTATCTTCTTTTTTTTTTTCAATTGAGGTATACAGTTAATTTACAATGCTGTGTTAGTTTCTGGTATATAACAAAGTGATTTAGTTATTAATATATATATTTATAATTTTTTGCTATAGTTTATTACAAGATATTGAATATAGGTCTCTGTGCTATACAGTAGGATCTTGTTTACTTTATATAGTGTGTCTGTGTTAATCCCAAACTCCTACTTTATCCTCCCCACTCTGATAACTGTAAGTTTGTTTTCTATATCTGGGTTTGTTTCTGTTTTGTAAACAAGTTCATTTGTATAATTTCCTTTTTTAGATTCCACATATAAGTGCTGTCATATGGTATTTGATCTTTCTCTTCCTGACTTACTTAGTACAGTAATCCCTAAGTCCATCTATGTTGCTGCATATGACAATATTTCATTCTTTTTTATGGCTAAGCTGTTTGTATATTTTGGAAATTAAGCCCCTGTTAGAGCACTTGCAAATATTTTCTCCCGTTCTGTGGGCTGTTGTTTTGTTTTGTTTATGGTTTCTTTTGATTAGGTCCCACTTGTTTAGTTGTGCTTTTATTTATTTGATACCCAACATCACCAAATAATTTGAAATCAGAATTAAAAGAACATTTGACAGCTGTGAAATGTATGTTTGTTCTGTTACTTCTGGTCAGTTACACACTAATCTAAGCCAAATTACCAAGTAAATTTTACTTTATTTCTTTAGAACTGTGTTTTCTCGACAACTTTGAACTTGGGGTCTTCAAATGTGAAGTTAGGGAACATATTCATGTCTGCTTTACCATACATTTGCTTAAGCTTAAAAAGCTCTCTGTCCAGTTCTTCCTGACACTCTGCACCAGCATCAGTGGCTCCTCCAGATGTCTGTCACCTAGTTCCATATTCTCTAATCTGCCTATGAAGAGTTTCTGTACAGAATCAAGTTCCTTATTAAATGGCACTGCTCTAACACTGATGTTCCCCCTCAGAGAGACCGAGACTGCAGATTGAGTGACAGAGGACAACCTGAAGAGTCTCAAGAATCGTGGTGACCCAGGTACGGACAGGAAGCATGTTGGAGACAGTCTGTTATCGGATGGCTCTCAGCGAGACAGAACCCAAACACCTGCTTTCATTTCTTCTGCTTTGGGAGGCTGACCTAAGGAAATATTGCTACAATTTATGTCAGAATGTTTTGCCTGTGTTCTCCTCTAGGAGTTTTATGGCCTCATGTCTTATGTTTAAGTTTTTAAAGTCACTTTGTGTTTAGTTTTTTGCATGGAGTGAGGCAGTGCTCTGACTTCATTGACTGAACAAGGCTGCCCAGCTTCCCCAGCACCATTTGCTGAAGAGACTGTCTTTTCTACATTATATATTTCTGCCTCTTTGTCGAAGAGTAATTGATGGTAGGTGTGTAGGTTTATTTCTGGGCTCTGTATTCTGTTCCATTGATCCATATGTCTGTTTTTGTGCCATTACTACTCTGTTTTGATCACTGTAGCTTTGTAGTCTAGTCTGAAGTCTGGGAGAGTTATGCCTCCTGTTTTGTTCCTTTTCCTCAGACTGCTTTGGCAATTCTGGGTCTTTTATGGTTCCATATAAATTTTAGGATTACTAATTCCTGTTCTGTGAAAAAATGTCATGGGTAATTTGATAGGGATTGCATTAAATCTGTTGATTGCTTTGGGTAGTATGGCCATTTTAACCAAATTAACTCTTTCAATCCAAAGGCATGCCTTTCCATTTCTTTTTTTTTTCATTTTAACAGTTTTTAAAGAAAGCTGTAGACAAGATGACTTTATTCCTGCATCTTCTCAGTTGTTTCTTCCTTGTATTTGCCCTTTTCCTTTCCTACTTGGCGAGATTTGGCTTTACGTTCGAGGATCTTTTTGCAGTCTTTGTCCGGTTTTAGTCTGGTGATGACCACCTTGCTGGGGTGAATGCCCACATGGACATTGGTGCCATCAGCCTTCCCCCGCTGCGCTTGTTCAGCGTAGATGACATATTTCTTCCTGTAAACCTGGACTGCTTTGTCGATTTGCTGCCTTTTGCAGTGCCCTCATAAAACCTGAACTTCATCGTCCTTTCGGATGGGCATGGATTGAACACTGTACTTCTGTCTTAGCTCTTTAGAAAGAGAAGACATAATTTTCCTGCGAATGTGGGAAGGCACATTGAAATGCTTTTTCGATTCTTGCTTTGGTCAGAAGTCACAACGGGACTGAACTTCATTTTGGCCGCTGGCACTTCAGCGATGGCCACAGGAGGGAAGAGCACCTTTCCATCTCTGTAAACCACCTTCAGTTTCCTGTGTTACTGTTTCACCATTCTCAGTGTATGTCTTTTACCTCCTTGGCCAGGTTTGTTCCTAAGTATTTTATTTTTTCTTGATGTGATGTTAAAAGGGACTTTTTTTTTTTTTTTTACTTTACCTTTCCAGTATTTCATTGTTAGTGTAAAGAAATGCAACAGGTTTCTGTATGTTAATTGTACTCTGTCACCTTGATGAATTTGTTTATCAGCTCTAGTGTTTTTGTGTGGACTCTTTAGGGCTTTGAATATACAGTATCATGTCATCTGCATATAACGGTAATTTTCCCTCTTCTCTTCCAATTGGGATATGTTTTCTTTTTCTTGTCTGACTGCTGTGGCTAGGACTTCCAGTACTATGTTGAATAGAAATGGTGACAGTGGGCATCCTTGTCTTGTTCCAGATTTTAGTGGGAAGATGTCTTATTAATACTTCTTTAAACATTCACACATAACTACTCTCTCGCCTGCATTATCTGGTAGTTTCAATAATCTGCAGTTCTTGGGGCCTGTATCTGTTCTTTGCTGACTTTGTCAACCAGTGACAGGACAGTGAGATGCTGTCCTGTGTTCCTGGTGGCTTCCTTAAGTTCACTGCTTTGATCTCATGATCCAGGGCCACCAGAGTCTAAGTAGGGGAAGCTTTCCTCCAGCGCGCTGTTATACCTGGGAGGTAGCACAAACCTGGATCTTGGCTCTGCATGGGAGTCCCAGCCTCGGCTTTCCACCTCACTTTGGCCCAGGAGCCAGCAGCCCACTGCTGTGGAGCCACTGAATCCACTCTGAGGGGACCTCTGTCCCTACAGGCTCCACGGCCCTGTCACCTGAGCGGACACCATAAAACAAACAGGTACCAACAGAAGCCCCCAGGTTGAGCTACTGTTTTGGAAATCCCAGCCAGCTATAGGACCCACATAATTCAGTCAGGAGTTAATCTAGAGCAGACAGTTCCCATGAAGGGGCACCAAACCACAGCCTGGCCACGACAGATTTGGGTCCTGCAGCTGGACCCCCAGAACTTGTGGCAGGTTACATTACAGTCAGCTTCCAGTAACACGACCTCACTCAGCTTGTTATGGCAGAGTTTTATGATACACAGAGTATCATCCCCAACAAAGACACCTCTCCCTTCCTATCTGGCAACTAACATTTACAGGTGTCTGTAAAGCTGCTGTATTGTGATGTCTGAGGTGTTAGATCATGAACAGTGACCACTTTTCAAAAGTGCTATGAACGTAAAAAAAAAACAAAAACAAACTTCTGATACATGGATAAACCTCAAAACTTAAGCACAGGGAAAAATACATAAAGAGTATAAATTATATCACTATTTATATAACATTTCAGAACAAGCAGAATTATAGTGACAAAAACAACATTGTTGGTTGTTTCTAAGGATGAGGGGCCTGAGGAATCTTTCTGGATTGGTGGAAATAGTCAGCATCTTGATAGTGTGGTAGTCATAAAGGTCAGAACAGGTTATATTTGTTATATAACCAAACACTTAAGAGCTGGGCATTACACCACATGTAAACTATACTCCAGGAAACCCCAGTGCTGTGAAAATGAAGTACAGCAGCTTCAGAGGCACATGTCAGCATCAAGTCTCCTTCCCCAGCCCCTTTCCTCTCTGCTGCTCCCGGAGGCGGTGGTAGACTTCAGGCCTGCACGGCCAGCTCACAGACCACGAGACAGTGTTATCTTCCTGTGGGCCATGGAGCACAGTGCACAAGCCTTGGGGGGCTGGCAAAAACTGAAGGGCGTGCTACCCACCCTCCAGCCTTGTTTACTCAACTTTTACTCTATGTTCACCCCACAACAGGTTCACTCTGTGCCATGAACTCGCTGGTGCTGGATAAGGTGAAAGCTCAGGCGGAAGGCCCTGCCACACTGAGCACAACGGAAGGGCTTCTCCCCAGTGTGGATCCTCTGGTGCCGGAAGAAGCCTGACAGAGCCCTGAAGGAGCGGCCACACTCGCCGCATTCGTAGGGCTTCTCCCCAGTGTGGATGCGCCGGTGCTCGCTGAGGAAGGAGCTGCGGCTGAAGGCGCGCCCACACTCCTGGCAGGCATAGGGCTTCTCCCCTGTGTGGACTCGCTGGTGCTGAATGAGGTTGGAGCTCTGGCTGAAGGCTTTCCCACACTCTTTGCATTCGTAGGGGTTCTCTCTGTGGTGAATCCTCTGGTGCCGGACAACGTTTGAGCTGTGGATGAAGGTTTTCCCGCACTCGCTGCACTCGTAGAGCCGCTCCCCCGTGTGAATCCTCTGGTGCTTCATAGCGTCTGACCTCTGACTGAAGGACTTGCCACACTCAGCACATTCATACGGCTTCTCTCCTGTGTGGATCCTCTGGTGTCTGATGAGGTTGAAGCTCTGGCTGAAGGCTTTCCCACACTCCTTACAGACGTAAGGCTTCTCCCCGTTGTGAATGCGCTGGTGCCTGACGACATGGGAGCTGTGGATGAAGGCTTTCCCACAGTCGCTGCACTCATAGGGCTTCTCCCCAGAGTGAATGCTCTGGTGCTTCACCACGTCTGAATAGCATTTGAAGCTCCTGTCGCAGGTGCTGCATCGGTAAGGCTGCCCTTTCCAGGGGCCTCTCCCATCGACTGCAGATGTTGTGTTCAGGGTGACCTCTGACCTGGACACTCTGTCCTCATGAACAGCCGGTACCCAAGGGGAACCTCTGGGCCTCTCTGCAGCTTCCTTATTCCCACAAGGGTCTGGAAGCCCCAGTGTCCGGGAAGGACCCTGTAACAGTCCTGGCGTGGCCTCTCCATGGCCCCCTTCTTTCAGGGCTACCTGCCGAGGCATCAGCCCTGCGCTCTGAGCCCCGTGCTCAGCTGCTGAAGCGGCACAGCAGGAAGCCCAGTGGCTTCCTTTCAATGCATGGAAAGCTGGAAAAGAGGGCAGAGATACACAACTCAGAAGAGAACTCGGCTAAGGACACACAGGTGGTGCTGGAGAGCTGTGTGCTGACAGAGCTGACAGCAAGATGCCTGTGATCCTGCCTGTCCTCGTCTTGCCCAGTTCTCCTCCACCTCTAACCCTTGTGGTCTCAGGATGAGTGACCAGGAGAGGGTGGCCAGGGTCCTTCCCTGAGACTCCAGAAAAGCCCAGGCCTCTGATCTCAGTCTGCTTGGTCTCAGGCCTGGGGACAGACCCTCAGTCAGGGTCTGGGGACTCCCTGGTTTGGCCACATGGACTGGAGCCCAGAGAGCAGTCGGCAGCAGAGCAAGAGGAAGCAAAGCAGAGGCCCAGGAGCAGAGGGGCAAGCAGTGCTGATGGCACAAGCTGGGGTCCAGCCTCTTTCTCGGACCCTGGGCTCCCCGAGACGACACTGTGGCCTTGCCTGCCCCCATCCCCCAACTCAAAGGGCAGAGCCCCCACCCCTAGGCTGCTGGCATCCAAAATAAAGCGAACTTTACTTTCCATCACCCTTGCCTTTTACTGGCTTTTCAGGGGGTGAGCAGCTGGACCTCACTTTTGGTCGCACTGGTAGCAAGTTGGGAAAGCCACGGAGGCTGCTTAATGCCCCAGAGCCACAGGCCACCTCCAGCAGAGAAGCCTCCATCCCAGAGCACCCATAGGGTGGCGCTGAGAAAGCTGGACAGCTGCATGCAAATCAATGAAGTTAGAACATTCTGTAACACCATACACGAAAATAAACTCAAAGTGGCCTAAAGGCTCAGATCTAAGATGTGATACCATAAAACTCCTAGAAGAGAACACAGGCAAAACATTCTGACATAAACCACAGCAATGTTTTGTTATGTCAGTCTCCCAAAGCAGAAGAAATGAAAGCAAAAACAAATGGGACCTAATCAGACTTACAAACTTCTGCACAGCAAAGGAAACCATAAGCAAAACAAGCTACAGAAATGGGAGAAACTGTTTGCAAGTGTTTCAACTGACAAGGACTTAACTTAAAAAATATACAAACAGCTCATACAACTCAATAACAAAAAACCAGCTCAATCAAAAAATGGGCCGAAGACCTAAACAGACATTTCTCCAAAGAAGAAACACAGATGCCCAACAGGCACATAAAAGATGCTCAACACTGGTAATTATTAGAGAAATACAAACCAAAACTACAGTGAGGAACGACCTCACACTGGTCAAAATGACCATCACTAAAAAGTTTACAAATAACAAATGCTGGAGAGGGTGTGGAAAAAAGGGATCCTACACTGTTGATGGGAATGTAAACTGGTGCAGACATTATGGAAAATAGTATGGAGGTTCCTTTAAAAACTAAAAACAGAATTACCATATGATCCAGAAATCCCACTTCTGGACATATATCTGGAGAAAACTCAAACTCAAAAGGATACATGCACCCCAGTGTTCACAGCAGCACTGGGTTCACAATCAAGACATGCAAACAACCTAAATGTCCATCAGCAGATGACAGGTGTGGTGCACACAGACAATGCAATAGTACTCAGCCACAAAGAATGAGATGATGCCATCTGCAGCAAACTGGATGGACCTAGACACTATCTTACTGGGTGAAGTAAGTCAGAGACAAATACATGATATCACTTATATGTGGAATCTAAAAAACTGATAGAAATGAACTTATTTACAAAACAGAAACAGACTCACAGACCAAAAACAAATTTATGATTACCAAAGGGGAAAGGGAGAAGGAGCAAAGGGGGGAGGCATAAATTAGGAGTTTGGAATTAGCAAATGCAAAGTACTATATATAAAATATTGGTTAAAAAAAATAGAGGAAGTCAATATAAACAAAACTGGGATTGGCCAAATAGTTTATTCAAGTTTTTCTGTAACATCTTACCAAAAACCCAAATTATTTGGGCAACTCAATGGATAAACAAGGTCCTCCTGTATAACACAGGCAATTATATTCAATATCTTATAATAACATATAATGGAAAAAAACATGAGAAAGAATATACATATAACTGAATCACTCTGCTATACATCTGAAACTAACAGCACTGTAAATCAATTACAATTTAAAAAACAAAATTCTTGTTCTCAGAGGTATCCAGGTCAGGGTTCCAGAGAGAGAGCGGGTTGCAGAGTGTGGCTAGGAGAAAAGACTCTGCACGCCCAATACAGGGGGCCCGGGTTTGACTCCTGGTCGGGGAACTAGACTCCGCCTGCCGCAACTGAGAGTTCACACACAGCAACTAAAAGATCCCGCGTGCTACAACTAAGACCCAGCACAGCTGGATGAGTGAATATTATGGAAAAAAAGTGTGGCCCGGAGAGCAAAGGACGTGGGGTGCGGGGAGCACAAAGGCATGAAGGTGGGGCGCTGTGTCAGAAGCTGCCAGAGTCTAGTGACATCTCCACAACCGCCAGGCAGGTCGATGGGGAAGCTCCAACTCCTAAGCTGTCCTCACATCCCTGAGCTCAGGACAGCCTTCTGGACCGGGCCACCCCACGCCCTCACCTGTGCGTGTGTCCATCAGGGCAGCCCTCTCCATGGAGGTCTGGAGACCCAGGCCGGGCTCTGTTTGCTGCTTCCTGCAGAAATGCCCACAGTGGGACCCCTGCCTGGGAGAAAGAGGAAAAAGGGAAGGAAATGACAGGGGGGAAATCAGAGCTCCTTCAGTGAAGGGAGGTTCAGAGCCTGCCCTCACTATCAACCAAGGTCCTGAATAAGCAGACACTCCACAAACTAGTGGGAACTCTGTCTAGGCCACGCTAGCTCCCCTCACCCCAGCCTCCCAGCAGATGAGGAGCCCAGACCAATGAGGCAGCACCTGTCAGCTGCCTGCTGTGGTCTCAGATCCACGAGGGATGAACGAGCACTTTAAGCAGTCCTTGGGCTTCCCAGGTGGCGCTAGTGGTAAAGAACCTATCTGCCAGTGCAGGAGACGTAAGAGATGCATGTTCGACCCCTGGGGAAGATCCCCTGGAGGAGGGCATGGTAACCCACTCCAGTATTCTTGCCTGGAGAATCCCATGGATAGAGGAGCCTGGCAGGCTACGGTCACGAGGTCACAAAGAGACCTAGCACGCACACATGCATAAATGTCTGGAGACATTTCTATTTATTTAAATTTTTTCTTGATAAAGATCTGAATATAAAACATGAAACCAAAAAAATAAATAAAAAGTCATCTGAATGGTGCAATTTTGAATTGAGGAATGCTTTTGCTAAGCGTGACACCAAAGGTGAAGTCTAACAGACTTAACTACACAGGACATTTAGAATAAAAAAAAGATAAAAAAAAAAAAAGCTCCCAAAAACCGGGAGAGATACCTGCAACACAGATAAGGATTCATAACCTCAAGATATCTCACTATATATACATAAGAAAGCATGAAAAACTAGTAAAAGTTATGAGCAGGTAACCAGAGAAGAAAATAAACAAGCAGCCAATATACATATTTTAAACATAGGTCCCAGATTGTTCCACGTTGTTGGCAATTAGAAATGAAATTTAAAATATGTTTCAGTCTAAAAGTAGCAAAGGCTTAAAAGCAGTGGCCCCTTAGGAGCACTGAGACAATTAGGGAAACAAGTACCTTCATGCACCGTTGGGAGAGGACAAGGTGCACTCCACTGCTGGTAATTCAACAATTTACAAAGGCCTTACAGGCAGACTGATTCCACTTCAGGGAACGGGTGAGGCTGTCCCGGGCCGTCACGCTGGGCGGGGGAGGCTCTCTCTGGCCCCGACGAGGTTAGGGCCGCCCGCCGCCTCCGCTCTCCTCCGGGACGTGAGCCTTCTCACAAGCGGAGCCCGGGACAGACAAGAGCCCCCGTGCCCGGCCCCCGGGGCCCGTCTCGGTCTCCTGCCCCTGCGCGGCCAGGCGGCCGCACCCCGCCCTCTCGCCGCCGAGCCCCAGGCTTGTCCGCACTCACCCGGAGCCCCTCCGCTCGCGGGAAGCAGCGCCCTCCCCGGCGGCGCACGCAGTTCCGGTGACGCTCTGGGCGCCAGAAGCCCGGCACTCGGCTGCCCTGGGGGACGCGGGCGGCGTCTGGAGCCACGGGGACGGTTGACCTGCGTGCTCGAGTCCGGGCCGGGCTCCCTAGCTTTTGCGTGCACGACCCTCGGCGGTTGTCCGGCCACTTTCACATTCACCGCTCCTGCCCCTACTGGGCTTCCCTCCGCAGACCTCCGGGACGCCTCCCGTGCCCTTCCCTTCCCGCGCGAGCCTCCCCGCCGGCCCCGTGGCCTCCACCGGGTCAGGGCCCGCGGCCGCGGTCGTCACTCCGGATGGTGACCTTGCTGACTGCGCAGTGGGCGAAGGCACGGACGGAGAAGGCCAGCGCTCGTAGAGAAAGCGGGGAGCGCCTGGTGGAAGAGGCAGGCAGAGCCGGAGAGACCCCTGGGCCGCCCTCCCCACGGAGATCCGCCGAGGGCAGGGCACCGGAGCCTCACGGCGGCTGGTCCTGAAGGTGGACCCCCTCCTCCCGCCTGCCCTGTGTCCCCGGGCCTGCCTCCCCTCTGGTCCGCAGCGACCACACACTTGAGGGCTTTACGATCTCACGATGTCCTCAGGTTGCACAAGCCGGGGCACAGCCT